CCCTTTTCTCCGGAGCGAGAGATAGTTTGTGAGAGGAGAATTGGGAATTGTGTTATGTAGATTTAAACATTTGGAGGCAGAGATGGTTCAGACAGGGCTGATGTGAGCTATGAGCTCGCTATGTGGTTTATGATTAAAGTGAGTGAACATCATCGTGCTATTACCTTGTCCTCTCAGCATATTTTCATTTATAATGCTTTTCATACATTCATCTACAGCCGTGACCTGTTCAAACAAAGCCTTTGTCCCAGACAGACACAATCAGGGTGATGAGTAAACACATACACTGTGTCTATCTTGCCTATTAATCTGGGCACCCAGCTGTGAGGAGGGCTTTGCTGCCCTATCTCCTCTGGTCCACACAGTAGCCCGCTGGTTTTGCTGCCTGTGTTTGGATTTCATCGAGAACTCGGGACCACTGCAATGTAACACAGATCAAAACGCGCTGCAGAATGGATTGCGACTGTTTCTGTGAATATTTTGAACCTGCACTTTGGGACAGCAGCTCCTCTTGTAGACCTGGAATATGAGCGACCTAATGTTACTTTCAGTTCAATAAATAACTATGTTCAACGCATGGATATGAACACTGAGGAAGATGAAGTCATGAAAAGGAGCAGCTTAACTCCATGTTGCAGGTGACACTGAGCACCTCCAAAAGAATCACAAAACTGTGTTGGCGGCACCCATGTCCTGAACGAACTGAACATTTTGACTTTCGAATGGTCTCAATGTTATTACAACCCTACCAACAACCGTTTTCAGACATGAACTCCAGACTAAGTGTGCAGACATTCTACATGAGGACACAGCAGGAAATTCTCCATGACAGACGTGTTCACAACAAAAGGAAAATCTCTGGCGCTTTCAGGTGAGGGCTGGCATGTTTGCAAGAGGCAGGACATAACAAATTAATGTTTTTGATCACTTGTTTCTTTTCGTTTGACATCTCCTCTGGCATCATCTACATGTATGACACCTATTTTTCATCCTGAGATTTTTGTAGTCTTCTTGTTTTTTCTGTTTTGCGTTTTAGGAATGTCATCGAGTCGCCCACTCGTGAATCCTCTGGATAATCTCCTGCTGTTTTCTCACATGGGCTCATTCACATATTGTCAGTTGGAGTTCTTGACTTGTAGATGCTGGTAATCCACCAACTGGCACCTCATGGACCATTATTTCAATGTACCATCATTTCATTTCAGCTGAATCAAACAGAAGTAGGAAGTGACAAAATGTATTTGTTGGTGTCTGTTAAAGTAGCCCCATATTAGGAACACCCCTTACTGTGTTTTGTGTAATAACCTACTTAAAAATCTTATGTGGAAAAAAGAGTGTGAATTCAATGTTGCAGTAGATTTTGTGGGATTTCGTGGATATTCTGTTGTGAAGTGAATTCATGCTACATAATCCCTGATATAATCCGACCTGTGTTGCAAATAAAAAACTGTGTAACAGTGCATTGACGTCTGTGTCTCTTCAGGTGGATATTCCAGTGACATTTCATCTGCTGTGGTATCAAGGTGGGGGGGACACTGACCATGCTGAAGTGCATTGTCAAATACTTTCTTTCAAAAATAACAGGAAACACTTCTCATTGGCATGAATAATGTGAGATTACACGCGTCGAGTTAAATGCTGCAGAATCTGACGAAAGATGTTTCTCCTATTATCTGACCACTTAGTTATATTGAAATCCATCATGTCATTTTAGATAGTTCAATTCATTGTACCGTACGCATAGGTGTATTAATAGAATGTATCAGAAATCCTATTACTCTTTTGAATCTCAGTGTGAAATGCTTAAATTGCAAATGGGGCAGTCCGTGGAACGTGCAAGAGATCTGTTAATGAAGGGCTCTGATTAGCATTTGTTAAAACTCAGTGAAGTTCTTGCATGCTAAAGGTCACACTGCTGTTCTGACATGGGGAGATGAAAACGTTCTACTTTTTGGGGGAATGTCATGATTTGAATTAAGATTGTCAGATTGGCTGTAAGCTCGTATCACAGTCCAGGCGTCTTGTATGACCTTTTCAAAGAATTGTCATTTTCCGCCCCTGTGATGCCACCATGGCTCAGTGGGGGAGAGGCCCCTCTTCTCTCGCCATGTAATTTGTCCTGGGTGTTACCATTCACACTGCACTAGTCTCAGCCACTCGCTCAAATGCTTATGTATCTACAGACCAGCAGGCTGCGACTACAGAATAACGAGAATGCAGCTGCTCAGGTTCTACTCTACGCTCTGTGTGCAGCAGGAGAGGCCTCTGAAATGTGCTGCTGTTGGCTTGAGCATCACACCACTGCTCCAACCACTGGTTTAAAGCAAATATGATCGCAGTTAACGATATTAACTACTCTTGCTACAACAACTACACTCAAGAGCGATCAAGCACTGAAGCCGACTATTGAAAGTTGTTGTGCACTTTGAAGAAAACTATTTTATTCACTGTGATGTGTGTTCATAACAGACAACACAACATCAAGTAAAACTGGACGCATAAAAATTTTGTTGTTCCGACAAAAACACTTTTTCCTCAAAATGTTATGACAAAACTACACACTACATTTTATACAGACACAGGTAAGATATCAAAAATGGGCATTCAGGTAACAAGTTACCACAGTTTGAACAGCATTTTATTGACTCCATTTTAAATTGGTGAAGAATAATTGTTTTAAAACTTGAACATTTTTCAGACATTTTTTTCAGACAATATAAGTTTGCCCTTCGCATAGAAAGAACACAGCATTAGATTGTCCAGTTTAGATGCGTTCACAACAACAAGAATACAGCCTCACATTCTGCCCCAAAATTTCAGGAAAATATCCGGTCTTTAGTTCATGTCTGAACTTTCCTGACTTGTTGAGAGACCCTGTGTCAAAATTGAGTTTTGACAGCTTTTGCGCAAGTGTATAATAATTACAATGCATACACCTTAACAAACTAACCCTAATCAAGTGTTGCTCTATCATGGGAGAACAGGTTTAAGTGGATTTAATGCCTACTTGGACAGAGAGGTGTGATGTTGCATGGCCCCTTAATCTTAATTAAAATTGGGATCCATTGTTAAAAAAACACTGTAAATTTGTGTATTCGTGTAGGGAATAAAAGGGATGCTGTCTTTATACTGTGGACTATTATATAAGTATTTTATCACTGATGGAAAAAGCAGAACTACTGTAGATAATGTGGTGCAAGAGAGGAGGAAGCAAAAGATACTTGATATTTTTAATGATGAACATTTGTTCAGGGCTTTAACTACTGGAGGGCACTCCACTGTTGAGTTTCCACCAGACTGGCCTTCAGAAACATGGACAACAGAAATCTCTGGATATTAATTAGAGACAAATCCCTTCTCGCTGCTGAAGTGTGGCATTTAAAGCATTGTCCTTGGTGCTTGTATAACACCACCTTTCAGTGTCGACCCCTTTCCTTCCACCAGCTGGATAATGCAGCCTAATCCACATTAGCAATCACTCCAGTCCCTGTTGTGTAGTGGCAGTCCTTCCTAATTGCTTGGCATTATTAGGTACTTTACTTTTAAATTTGAAGAGGAGGAACATCATTCTACTGCATCCAAGCAGCAAATGATCCAATTTGCTTAATTTCCAAGAAACACCAACAGTGCATTTTTCCCTCATTGCTCCCCCTATTGTTTATATAGAGGAATGATAGAAACACAGAAATAGTAGAAGTCAGAAGAGCATGAGAGGTTGGTTGACACAATGATTAAATCCACTGAATATCTATTGAAAGAGAGCAATGAACAGTTAGAGTTAGGTCTGTCTCCTTTGTGGGCCTCCAACTGATGTACAGGTCTGACTTAAATCAGTTTAAATAAATACAGTCCATTTACCATCTAAAATGATGCCTACCCCTCATTGTTTTCTTAACTACAAAATGCATTTCCTGCTGAACGTGTGGTGTGAATGCTGAGTTGCTGAAGTACTTGGCTGAATCAAGCTGAAAATGTGTGATGGTGGAACTTGATGATGCCACCAGTTCCTTGCGTGATGTCACCACTCTAGAAGACAGACACAATCCAAATAGAATTACTTGTGCCCTGCAGTTGCGCCTCTGCCAACAGTGCAGATTCAATCTGCACACATTTCTTTACACATTCATATGCAGTCACTGTGACCTTCACCTTTCAAGTATAAAATCGAATAAATTCATTCGTGAATCTAAGGATTCTCCTGAGACATTTGCAAGATAACATGTTCACAAGTTATAGTTACCTGAACCTTCCAAATTCTAATCAGGTCATCCTTGAGTCCAAGTGAGTGCCAGATGTAATGATATTCCCTATGGGGTTTCCTAATAGATTGTTTTGATAAAACCACATGGTCACTGTGACTTAAATCTAAAATTATTAATAAAATTAATCTAAATTAATCTTTGAGTCAAAGTAAATGTTTGTACCAAATGTGAACACATGCCCTCAATGTGTACCTAAGATATTTCACTCACAAAAATGGTATGGACACATGGACAATCAAAAACATTTGGCTTTGGCCTCTGACTGTTGTGGAGGCATACAAATTGCTGAAATAGCTGATTATTTCAAAAGGTATGAGCCGTTTAAAAAAGAAAAATAAGAGCAAGAATGTCCTTAATGAGCTTTGATAGTTAAATGGTGGAAATCGGTTTAAAGGTCCAGTGTGTAAGATTTAGGTGAAAGGGATCTATTGGCAGAAATTGAATGTAGAATAATCCTCATGATGTTTGTTTCATCTAAATTGTATGGATTGTAGTTTTCTTAACAATAGAAAGAGAGGGTCCTCTCTACGGGGGCCGTCATGTTTTTTACGTTAGTCCAGACTGGACAAACTAAACACCTTTTTAGTTTTTATGACAACTACATGAAGGCTATCACAGGTTCTTTTTCATGTTTGGAAGGGGAGGGTGAGGTGAGGGGTGTTCAGCTGCAACATGAAATTACAACACTAGATATCACAAAATTCTACACACTGTATCTTTAAGTATGCATAAGTTTTTAGCAATTTTATTGCAAGGCTTGGGAAAAACCAGAACACCCGGGGGAAACCCATACAAGGATATTTGACACTGATTAAGTCAGAACATAAGGAGAGAAGACAGACTAAATAAGTCATTCAATCAATCCTAGTCAGAATCTTCATTCCTTATCTGAATCGTTTGCAGGTCCTTTTCGACAACCTCAGTTTCATCACTTGCATTTCTTTTGGTCTCGCCAGTGTTATGATCGTCACTGTAAAAATCGAGGATGCTGATATCAAACTCACCCCACCATCTGAGTTTTTTGCTGCTCTTATCAGTGTTCCTTTTCGTCTCATTCACCTTCTTCTTCACCCTCTTCTTCACCCTCTTCCTTGAGATCATCCTTGACCTCTTCCTATACGTCTTTTTCGGTGGTCCTGGCAGTTTGCCTCCCTCCTCTAACTGTGGGTCATCTGACTCAATTGACTCCATGAAAGCAGCCTTTTCAGCCAGATCAGCAGCACTAGTACTTCTGTGAGCAAGATCTCGGCCTGTTCTGTCTGTATCATTGTCACATGATCTTCTCCTGGATGGTCCAGGAAGAGGGTCCTCAGTTTCAGCACTTGCACATTTGACTGGGCTTCTGTTCTCGTCACTGCTCTGATCATTTTCAGTGCTGCTGGAATCAGAGCTGCTGTCATCAGACTCATCCCACCATCTGACATGTTTGCTACTTCTCTTATGAATGTCCTGTCCATCCTCCTCACTGAACCATCTAGGCAGAGGGTCATCTTCTTCTACACCCTGATCAACCTGATTCTCTACACCCTGGTAAACCCGATCCTCTACACCCTGGTACACCTGATCCTCTACACCCTGATAAACCTGATCCTCTACACCCTGGTAAACCTGAACTCCGGCATCTTCTGCACCCCTATCATTGTTATCAACATTCTCATCATTATTGTTATAGTCACCATGAATGTTGCCCAACCCCTCCTCCCTCAAATTATATACGTCACTATTTATTCCCCCATTCTGTAGATGCTGCAACAACACATGAATGTTTTCTTGAAATTCCGGTAAATTCCTTATAAAGTTTAGTGGCTCTGTAAGAGAAGTTAGAGAATCATGTTACCATTATTGTTCAATAAACTGCATTGTGAATCAGTCACCCTTCAATAGCCTCTGATAGACTGTTCATCAGAGCTCTGTGCAAAATGATGAACCAAGTACTTACGGTTTTCATTAAAGTGTTCTCCATCTTCTTCATTGTCCATTTAAAACAAATGATCAGAAATCAAATGTTTTATGTTCAAATACAGTTGAAGTCCCAGTTGATTAGCCCACATCACACATTAATAGGACTACAATATAATGCACCAGAGATCAAAGGGATTGGTTTTGATCCTTGATTCTCTTCATGTGTGCTGTCATTCATATCATCTTTGCCTACTGTCAATACACAGATCAAAGAGGATTAGGAAGCAAAGAAAGTACAGCCACTTGGAACGTAAAAAAGGACACCCCTGCAATAATTTTTCTTGAATATTCCTTTTTGAATGCAATTTTTTTTTAGTCACCAAAGAAATCCTGCCCACTTCAGCAGGTTTAGAACATTCCTGATATATTTTTTCATCACTTCAACTCCCCATGCTTTTTGAAATATTACATTTTTTCAGTATATTTTCACATTTTTAATGGGGTTTATATTTGTATGTTTTATTTTCTAAAGATGAAACTCTTTTATATTTATTTGTTTCAGTATGCTTGTCTGCAAATGTTGCTGATTTTATGCATTTGAAAATAATCATATCAAGGCGCAGCGGGTAACAATTGAGTTTGCGGAGGTTGATGATTAAGATAAAAACACATTGTGGTGTATTGAGGTAAGTGACCTACCGCTCTGTTCAGATAAGACTCCAATTAAACCTGGCTGAATTGCACATTTGTAGAATAAAGATAATTACTAAATCACCAGGCTACATTGCTTTGATAGATTTTTGTTACTCAATGTTATTGCTGCGAGGAATACGAAATTAAATGGATTATATCACAGCATTTTCAGATGGATTACAACTGCTTTTAAATAACCGCAAGAGCAATTTCATCAGCCCTGCAATTCGAGAAGCCACTGACAGGCACTGCATGATTCAAATTGAACTTGCTCTCATCGTTTTAATAAAGCGCTTCAGTCTTCACCTCTAGCAGTCACGCACGTACATGCACATTCACATACACACATACAAACACATGAAACACATGCATACACTATAAAAATTGTACACATCATAGACTGTTTAATCTGGAAAAACAGACCGATTTATAAAATCTACAGAAAGCTGCCCCTGCTTTCAAAAGTTTGGTAAATATTTTGAATTATTCCATGCAACTGTGTAAAAATTTGATAGTTGGTGACAACCCAGCGTTTGATTTTCAATTTTTTGTGCTTCCAAAGAGTCTTAAGAGAGAAACAACACAACATTGGGACAATTTGTTGACAGGCATCTTCAATAAACATGGCCCTATGAGGAGAGAGACGTCACCAGAATTGTGTTTTATTTGTTGTGTTTGAAGTTCAGGGTTTAAAAACAGTAAATAGTGGACAAGTAATCAAAGGCTTGTGATGAGAGATTTCACGGGTGGTTATCTCCAGGTCCTTGCTGCCATTTCTGTGTGTGCCGAGAGATTGTGGAGAACTCGGCGTGCCAAGCGCCCAGGGCTGCTGCAGTGGCTGCTCTCCTTTAAAACCATGTTGGCACAGAGCCCCCTATCGAAGCCAAGGCCTGAGTCCGTATAAGCATTCATTATGGCATCCATTAGAATAAACATCTCAACCTCCCCCAAGACCAGCTCCCTCGCTTTTAAGTGCCATTTGACAAGGCTGCATCCAAGCTCCAAAATGAGAACAGTGCCCACATTTTATTGTATTTATTTATTCATTTCTGTATTTAGACCTTCTTCAGACAGAGTTCTTCTACTGTTTTTACATGAAGAGCTTTTAAATGTTTGTCTCCGAGTGCTCCTGTCTCTATGGAAAACCGACAGCATTGCCAACAAAGAGTGAAAAAGGGCCTAATTGGTAATCTGTGCTGTTTCACAAAAGAATAAGGTGCATTTGTGTCAGTTTGTGAAGCTTATTTGCATAAAATATACAACATTAAAAAAAAATTTTGTATAGCTCAGGAAACATGTGAACGCAAAAATGCTAACCCAGACATTATTTGGAATCCAAAAGGAGACACACTCAGAGATTTTCAACTCGACTGATTTTAAAAAACGTGTGAGACCACAGACACAATTACAGATTTAACCGATGTTTAATCTTATCATCTTCAGAAAGTACACACTGGACAATTTGGACAGAACCTAGACCAGCCACTTGTAAGATACAACTTCACAGTGGCGATTCCAGAGACTTGGAAACTAACAGAAACTTGTGAGATTCTCTTCTTCAGTTTTTTTTATCGCGGTTGGCAAACTTTTAGGCACATTCTGATCTGGAATGTGAAAAACACACGTAACGCCCTCGCGATTGTCAGAAGGGGGATATCAGGTCCTAGATCTGCCCAGTTATCCTCTCTCCTCTAGCGTGCAACAGCCTTAAAGCACACATCTAGTGAATAAGGCCTTGTCTACATCACTGCAGATATTTTTTGGGACAGATATTTTTCCCTCCATTTAAAGAAAGTTCTGTCTGCAAACGTTTGTAGTCGTTTTTGGTTTTTGGCCAGACGGTGGCAGGAACTCCACATCAAAGATTTTCTTGAAATTCCAGAGGACATTGTGAGCATGCTCAGGGAGCTTCTTCTCCTTCTAACTGATATAAACCGATATTGTTTTTTTAAATTTGTACTCTGGAAGGCTTTTGTAAAAAATTCAGTTTTAGTGACTTAAAACCACGTTTGCGTGTGAATGACAGGTCCAAACACAGAGGAAATAGCAAAATATCTGCATTGTGTGGACAGGGTGTGAGTATAATCACACCATTTACTTACTGATGCCATCTATAAAGGCAGGATTGGAACGAATATTTCACAAAATCTCGTTATAGAGTATGGCATTTTGAAAAAAAAAAAAGAGCAAAGTCAAAGGATCCACTGTTTAATCCAATGTCAATTATTAGATAACACCACAAAAAGACTGAATCTAAATGAGGACAAAACTTTTTACTTTAAATCTGGATTTAGGCTGATTACCACATTACTGATGACAGATGAAGTTGAGATCTGGAGATTTCATCTTCCAGTTTTACATTTTAAAAAAAAGTATCACAAAAACAAAGTGAAACACTCAGTTTGAGAAATTTGTTTCTTCCCTGCTGCAGCTGCTCTTCTGCCAAAAACCCTGTTTTGGGTGGAACAACAAAAAGACAACAAGAGAGCACTAAAACAAAACACCAGGCGTTATCATCACCATTATTGACAGTAGCAACAGCAGTAATAACAACAATAAAAGGGCATCCTGGGATATCAAGTCACATTTGTTTCCCCATTTTCTGCATGAAACATACTGTAATAAGGCTGCCGTTCCACTTTCATTTGGACTGCCAGGGCTGTCAGCAAGCCACGGACAGGATGGGCTTCGCCAGCTCGCTTCTTACCCAGCCAACTTCACTCTCAGCCTAACTAGGCCAAAAGGCCTGACACTTTGCGTTGGAGTAACAAGTCTCACATAAATGAAATGCAGATGATTGGTAAAATCATATGATACACAAAAGAAACTGTAATCTGGCTGACGTGTCTGCCTAGTTCCCCCTTGGTGTGTAGTGGCATGCCTTGGGCCACGTTGACTTCACTCCCTCCCACCACACTGGTCGTCTGCAAGACTGACGGACAGAGCAAGAGATGTGCTGGGTTTGGCTGCGTACGCCCCTTAATGCAGACAGAGAAATAAAGGGAGACCAGCAGTCAAAATCTCATAAGTAAATCTCTTGAAAAGAAAGTGAAACAGATGCCAAGACGGTGACTGTGAAACTTTAAAAAGAGCATCATGGAGGTTGAGAGAAAGAGCACACATGCTGTGTATCAGTACGTGAAGAAGAATGAAAAAAGTATGAGTGGGTTGCAGATTAAGACCTGAAAATGCAGCATGCATACTGACTTGCTGCAATACTTACTAAAAATATATGATTGCACAAAGTAGAGGCCAAGATCAAAATTGTGGATAATGGATCGTGATCGTAAATGTGGATGGTAAATCGTGTCGGCGGCTGATCATGGACTATGATTACAACAAAACTGCTTGATTATCAATATGCTTTCTCAAGAATTCTACCACTACAGTCAATAACGCCTCCATTTCAATTGTCATTGCTGCTCCTTACTCTTGTTGAGGGTTAGGCACAGAGGATGTTGCACCTTGTTAAGCTCTATGAGACAAATTGGGATTTGTGAATATGGGCTATACAAATAAAATTTGATTTATTCATGATCAAAGGAATGTGATGATGTCACTAGTTCCTCGCATATCACAGCATCAAAGAGTAAAAATAAAGGAACATGAGAGCACCCATGTCCTGAACAAGCTGGACACTTTGATGTTTGAATGGTTTAAATTGGTTGAAGGAGCAGTTGGCAACCAAAACCAAAAATATTGTTACTTAAAAAGAGAGAAGAAGGAAAATAATACACTGGAGTGTGAATAGTGTGAAGGCGGACTCAGCATTTACACTAATACAAACATGGCTAACTATAGTGTGGATGCTGTTTCAGCATTTACTCAGCATGTACTCAGAGACTGTATACCTCAACCAAGGCCCAGTCCCCTTCTGAAACCATTAGATACAGATTTTTATTTGGATCGCCACGAAATAACATACACTGGTAAATACTTGAAATCAACGAAATGGGGGGAAAATCCTGGATCCACCCCCTGATCCAGATCCTCACCAAAACTTTTGGGGCTCTTTCTTGGGTGATGTTCCTCCCCTTCACAATCTGTCCAATAGTTATTTGCTTAGTCCTGCTAATTAACGAACAAACAAACTCAGATGGAAACATAGCACAGGTAATAACTAAAAGTGCAGTGCTGAGTGCTGTAGAACCAAAATGACCATATCAGATAAAGATACAAGAAAAAAAACAGAAGCAGCAGGATGTATCACATGGTAAGTGTCAGGTAATGATTCCTACTTTGGAGAACTCGCCAAATACCTAGTATTGATCAGCTGTTTAAGTTGAGTTAATGTATGAGCGATGCTCAATGTATTCCCTAATGACTTACCAGTCTGTAGGCAGTGCACCAGTAATAAGACCTCAGACAGCCACATAACTCAGCCTGTCTCTGAGACCACTCTCTTTTTCCTCCACCTGGGCTATCTGACATCTGATATTAAGGAA